TGGAGGGCGGCCCGTTTGCAAAATTTGGCTCTCGCCTTAGCGCCGCGTTATTTTTTTTTTTTTTTTTTTTTTTTTCTGTTGTTTGTTTTTTGTTATATATATATGTGTATTTATGTATATATATAGGGGGGGTACAACGTTTGCAATTCTAGGATGGATGGCGACCTGTTCTTCAACCTGTGGCTTTCGCCTGAGCGCCGCGCGGATTCGTTGGAAAGATATGCAGTCGTGTCGAGGATCTGTGGCTGACTTTCCAGGAATGGTGCTCTGGCACGATTTAGGGCTGTCAGGGCGCAGCAGTCACGTTGATTCGCGGCGTTGAAGTCCCATGTGCGGTGTTTTGGCACGGTTTAGGATTGTCAGGACGCAGCCGTCGCGTTGCTTCGCGGCGTTCAAGTCCCATGAAAGATGTTTTGGCACGATTGAGCATTCTAATACGCTTGTCTTCCAATAGGGGCATGTCCCACATGAAGGTAGATATGATGGAGGACCTGCGAAGAGGAAGCTTTAATGGAGGGTTTACTGCAGCATCGTTCATGTGTCTTGTGTTCACTCTGGTCCTCCCCCTCCTCCTCCTCCTCCTCCTCCTCCTCCTCCTCGTGCTCCCTCCTCCTTCCTCCCCCTCCTCCTCCTTCTCCTCCTCCTCCTCCTCCTCCTTCTCCTCCTCCTCCTCCTCCTCCTCCTCCTCCTCCTCCTCCTCCTCCCCCTCCTCCTCGTCGTCCTCGTCGTCGTCGTCGTCCTCCTCCTTCTCCTCCTCCGCCTTCTCCAGGGCAGCGGCTTTTACGACAGGCTGACCTCTGGATGGGGGCCTGGAGTATTCACAACCAGCGGCCTGCCCCCAGTGGGCCTGTCTGTGCCTTTGTGCCCTGGAACGGTGGCCCGAAGCTGTTTTTTAGGGCACCAGTGCGCTCCCAGAGTCCTATAGGCGCTATGTGGGATTCTTAGGCAGGTTCGTCGCCTTCTTTCTGCTCCTGAGCGTGCTCTTCACGGACCTTGCCCCTTGTAGTTCCAGACATGATCGCGTCGTTACAACATCCGGATGGGAGAAAGGTTTTTGGCCATTTTCGGCCTCGGGGGGGCCCTCGCCAGGCCTCGGGGCCGTCAAAAAAACGTCTCGGGACGAAAAGCTGGTCCCGGGGAAGGAAAGGTCGGGACTTCCAGGGACGCCGTCCTGAAAAAATCAGGGCGTCGCATGACTGGGGTGGGGTTTCTGATCGTGGATGTACAGTGCCGTTTTTCATACATGCTCCGCGTGCGGATCATGTATTAAATATGCAGGGGATTGAGTATTAAAAGCAACGATGAGCTCATGCATACATTTATTCATGCATTAGTCATGTATTCAAACAATCCAATATTTTTAAATATCCTATGTCTTAAAAACTGCCCTGTATAAAAAAAAACGCGCCCGGGGCGCCTCCTTGAAGTGGCTTGGCTTGGCCTCCTGCTCTTCTGGGGCACGGCCCCGCGTGCCTGGCGCCCTCCCGGCACCGCCCTCGGCTCCTCCTGGGCTCCCGCGGGAGGGCCGTTCTCGCCTCCCCGGCAGCTGCGCCGCCAGGGGGCCTCACGCCGACCCTACCCCTGCACCCCAGGATTTCTGAGGGGGAGGGCGGGGTTCGCTTCGTCTGGGAGCTCCCGAGCGGAGTGACCCCCCCCCCTCAGACTCAGGAATCGTGGGGGGTAGGGGTAGGGTCCGCGTGTGGCCCCCTGGCCGCGCCGGAGGGCGCTCTCCAGGTGCCCGCGTCGTGCCGAACGGCCACGGGGTGCCCGGCTCGTGGTCGTCGTGGCGGGGGGGGCCTCTCGAGGCTAGCAGGGGGGGGGGGAGCGACTGGGAAAGGGGGAGTACGAAATTAGCTGCATGAAGCTGGTTTCGGCCTCAGCGAGGGGCCCATCCCTCGATGCATAGCCGCCTCCGGCGCCGGGAGGCGCCAGGGAAATCAGCCACGTGAGCTGATTCTCAGACCTGCCCTCTGCTATCCCCCCCTTTCGCCCGACCCGACAGACCTTTCCTCAGACATGCGACGTCCTGATTTTTTCAGGACGGCGTCCCTGGAAGTCCCGAGCCTTTCCCTGGGACCAGCTCTTCTTCCCGCCTGACGAGGGCCCCCCCGGGGGCCGAAAATTGGCAAGAACCTTTCTCCCATCCTGATTTTTTTTTGCGACGCGATCGTGTCTGGGTCCTCCTCGTCTCGACTGCACGTAAGAGTGACCCTTCGCCAGAGGAGTGACCTTTGGTGCGGGCTCACCGGTGTCCCCCCGACCGCTGAGCGCGATGCGATGGTGGCTGCCTGCGCCCTTGGATCTGGCCACCTTACGCCCCCTCGGTCCGCGCACAAAAGGTCACTCTTATACCCAGGGCCACTCTTGCGTACAGTCGGGGCGCTGAAGAAGGAACCCTTTTCGTTGGGGAGGGGCTCCGCGTTCCTTAGTTGCTTTACAGTGCTCCTTGGGTTTGCCTGAGGTTTTCCATGGAAAATCGGAGTTTAATGTATGGGAAAAAGGGGCCTCGTTCCTTATTTTTCGTTCCTTAGGTCAACGCCCCGACTGTATCGCCGATCGTCGTCGAGCAGATCACGATGGAGGGGGCCCTCCCCGGGCCCCGGGGGCCTCCGGAGCGTGGCTCGGGAGGAGCGGCCCGTCCCGGGGGCCCAGGTCTGCACCTTTGTGGCCCTAGGCCTCGCAGATCGGCGCGAGCGACATGGGTACTCCGGATTCCATAATAAAATTGGGGGGGTCACATTCGGGGGGGGTCTGATTTGACCTGTCTTGGAGGGTTCGGGGGGGTCTGGGCAAAGGGCCGCCCTTGCATGGATGGTCTGGGGGGGTCCAAAACTTCTCGACTGGGAGGGCTGTGACCCCCTCCCTTTTATTACGAAAACCGGAGTACGGAAAGAATGGGTACAATGGCCAACAGCAGTTCCTGTTCATTTTGAACAGGGCTCGCTCTTCGCGCCGCCGCGGCCAGTGTCCATTTGAGACAGAAGGCCGCCTGCCCAACAGCGGCCGCTGTTGGTTTGGGACAACATTTGTTGTTGGGCATTGTGCCCATTTTTTCCGTACCCATTCCGGGCGTCCAAAGTAGATGGGGTCCGAGTAGATGGGGTCGGAGGATCGCGCCCGATTTTCGCCATGACGACGGCGCCGATGCATCGCCGACGTCGCCGATGCATCGCCGGCGCATCGCCGATGCATCGGCGATGCATTGGCGATGCGGCGCGACCCTCCGACCCCATCGGCTCGGACCCCATCTAGGAGGCCTCGGATTCTTTGGGACATCCATCGGATTCCCGAGAAATTCCATCGGATTCCTTCGGAAATCCATCGGATTCCTTGGGACATCCATAGGATTCCTTCGGATAGGAATCTTCAGGACACCCGTAGAATTCCTCACGAAACCAATCGGATTCCTTAGGAAATCCATCGGATTCTGGGGAATTCCACAGGAATCCTTATGATCACGACGTCGGAGATCTGGTTCGTTCGAGGATCGGACGTTCGAGGCTCTTGCACATTCAGGGCCCTGTGGTGTGCCTCGGGAGGCGCCTTCGTGGCCACAGCTGGATTCTGGCCAGAGCGTTCCCCAGGGTAAACTGGGGGGGGGTGGCCGCCGCCGCCGCCGCCGCCGTCGCCATCGTGGTCGTCGTCATCATCGTTGTGGCCGCCTTTCGTCGCCGCCGCCGCCGCCGCCGTCATCGTCGTCGTCGTCGTCGTCATCATCGTTGCCGCCGCCTTCCGTGGTCGTCCTCGTCTTCGCCGCCGCCGCCGCCACCGCCGCCGCCGCCGCCGTCGTCGCAGTCGCCGTCGCCGTCGCCGTCGTCGTTGCCGTCGCCGTCGTCGTCGTCGTCGTCGTCGTCGTCGTCCTCCTCCTCCTCCTCCTCCTCTGGAGCTCTGAAGGCCTCTGGGGACCTTTTTGGGGATCCCTGACGTCCGACGGTGCGATCTGTTAGCCGCGCGGCCCCAGAAGTCTCGACCCCGCCCCCCGGGGCCAGCTTTTGACCCCGGAGCCGCTTCTGACGGTCCGGGGCCCGAGAGTGGCCCCGAGGGACAGTTGCCACCTGAGTGTGTCACGCCGTCGGCGACCGAGGGCCCCTGCGGAGACGTCTGCAGAGTCCTCCCGGGCCTCTGGCCGGGCTTCCGAGGAGGTGCCGTTCTTGCCTGCGGAGAACGCCACCGCGGAGGGCGTGCACAGGCCCATGGGCGGCTCAAACTCAGGGGCGGACAGGCCTCATACCCTGACACGTCGAGTAAGGAATTTGCCGTTTTCGGTTCGCGAGTCCAGGTCCGTCGGTTTCGGCCCTAGGCCGTGCTCACTAAGGGGAGGTTTACGAAAGGGAGGTTTGTCCACCGCCGACAAGCGGGGCCGGCAGAGGTCACCACCCACCAAACCACCCCAACCCAACCCGAAGGCTCAGATTTACCCTCGATTTCCAGTGGGGGGGGGTCGGGAAACGTCGAAAAAACACGTGTGGAACCCTTACCCCCCCCAACCCGAAATTCGGGTCTTCGGGTTGGGTTGGGGTGGTCTGGCAGGTAGTCATGAGGGGGGTCTGGGGCTGCCGCGCCGCACCGCCTGGGCGGCCGGGGCGGCGCCGGCCCCAGAGCTCCGCCGGCGTGTTCTTTAGCGGCGGGCGCCCTGGCGCGAAAGTTGGCTCTCGGGGGCCGTCCGCGGACCTCGGGACCGTTCCCAGTGCTGCTTCGGCGCGCCAGCAAAAAGAGCTCGCCCCGCGGGGCGGTGGCCGGGGCCTGCGGGAGCCGCGGATCCTGGAAGGATCGGGGCGGCGGACGTCCGGGGCAACTGGTCGCCCCACCGAGCGTGGCTGGGCCCATCCCCGAACTTCGGGTGCAGTGGATGTTTGGAGGAGGAGGAGGAGGAGGAGGAGGAGGAGGAGGAGGAGGGGGAGGAGGGGGAGGGGGAGGAGGAGGAGGAGGAGGAGGGGAGGTGGAGGAGGCGGAGGAGGAGGGAGGAGGAGGAGGAGGAGGAGGAGGAGGAGGAGGAGGAGGAGGAGGAGGAGGAGGCCCGCGCTCCTCCTCGGCTTCGGCCCATCGGGGGCCGCTGTGGGTCCCTGCAGGGGCCATCGAGCATGCATCCCCAGACATGCGACGTCCTGCTTTATTCAGGACGGCATCCCTGGAAGTCCCGGCCCTTGCCCCGCGACCGGTTTTCGTCCTGAACCGTTTATTGACGGTCGCGAGGCCCGGCGAGGGCCACCTTTTGGGCCGCAAGTAGGCAAACATCTCCCGTCCTGATTCTTTTACGACGCGGTCATGTCTGGGTCCGGGACGGGCGGCAGAAGTCGGTCAGGGCCCTGCCCAGGATCGGAAACTGCGCCGGCCTGACTTGGCCAGGAGGCGTACTTGGCCGAGGATGAGCCTGGCCCTGATCGGTGAGGTGGCTAATAAGGCGATGTTCGTCGTCATGGTCGACTTGGACCAGAGGCCAGGCGAAGGCTGGCAAAACCCGTGGCTGCTAAAACTGAGCTCCGGGATTTTTCTTTCTTCTGGGAAGAAGCCCGTTTATTATTTAGCGCGCTGAGTTTTATTCCGGGAATTTGTTTGTTTCTTCCGGGAAGACCGTTTCAGCAGCCACGGATTTGCCAGCCCTCGCCCAGCTTCCCAGTGGAGCGATCTGGAGCCGGATCTGCGTCCTGACAGCCCTTGCGCACGCCCTGGCAAAAACCACGGCCGCAGGTTTTCGACCCTGGTCGGCCCTCACGCAGGGGCCCTCGCTGGGCCCTGGGGCCGTCAAGCTTCGGTTCGGGAGGAAAGACCAGCTCTGGACCAGGGGTTCTGGGTCTCTGGGGTCCACGTTCCGAACCCAGACGTGCGACGCCCCAATTTTTTTGCAGGGCGGCGTCCCTGGAAGTCCCGACCCTCTCTCCCGGGGACCGGCCCGTCGTCCTCAGTCGTCTTTCACGGTCCTGGGGCGCGGCGAGGGCCCCTTTGGGGCCGAACACAGCCCCAAACCTCCCGCCCTTTTTTTGTTTTTTGTTTTCTCTGTTTGTTTGTTTCTTGTGTGTGTTTTACGACGCGATCATGTCTGGGAAGAGTCCGCGACGCTAGAGATCTGGGCTCCTCGCGACAGCGCGAGCGCCGCGCCGCGGCATCGGAGTCGCATCGCGCGGCCCTCTCCGGGTCCCGCCAGGGCCCCTTTCGGTCCGCGACCGCTCCGGTGCGGTATCGACTCTAGCCGTGAGTCGGGCATGTCCCTCTACAGGAGGAATATTCAAAGATAGTTCATTATCTCCTCCTCCTCCAGAGGTGGCGGCACTGGCCGTAAGACCTTCGCAATCAACCCCTCATGCGTGCTCTCCAGGGGACCCCGAGGCCTGGGCGGCAAGGTGGGGCTGGGGGATCGCACAGTGCGCCGCCGACGCAGCGGCGATGCATCGCGACGTCGAGAGGCGCAGCGGCCATGGCGGCAAGGCAGGCTCAGACAGCATCGAATCGGGAAATCGGCTCAGATCGGAATTATCCCAGTACGACCCTACCTAGGAGGTGGAGGATCTAGGAAAGCAACATCTATATGAAGCTAAGCCAAGCTAAGATGAAGCCAAGCTAAGATGAAATAAACTAAGCTAAGATGAGATAAGCACCGCGAGGCTAAGGGAACGTCAGTGGGGGAACCGCGGGGCGGATCCATGGGGGAACCGCCCGGGGCGGGTTACACTACCCGGCCCCTTTCAGCCTCCGAGTAAGAACCCTTCTAGGCAGAGCCTAGGTAGGGAAAAATATTCAGGGGACGATTTTTCCACCGTTTTGACTATTTTTGAATATCCGTAAGGGCTTCGCCCCCTGCCGCCGGCCCCCCTGTCTTAGAATGATACTCGCCAGAGCTGTGTTGGGATGTCTGGGCGCTGACGTGAAGCAATGTCGGGACTTCACCAAGTGCGGAATATTTCACATCTACGAATAGTGCGTCATTTTCGCGGATTTATGGCTTCGGGGGCGCGAGCATTGAGTAATTTATGAGGGCTTATGGCTTTGGGGACGCGACTATTGGTGTGTAATTTAGGAGGGTTGATGGCCTCGAGGACGCAACTATTGCATACTTTATGAGGTTGTATGCCTCCGGGGACGCGAATGTTGTGTAATTAGCCAGGGTTTATGGCGTCGGGGACGCGCACATTGCGTAACTTACTTCTATGGCCTCGGGGGCGCAAATACCGTGTAATTTACGAAGGATTACGATTTCGGGGACGCGAATATGGTATACTTTACAAAAGTTTATGGCCTCGGGGACGCGACCATGGCGTAATTGACTATGGATTATGGCGTCGGGGACGCGAATATCAAGTATTTTTACGTGTCCCCCCCCCCTCGCGCGGACAGCAACAATTAACAGGAAGGAAACAGAAAGCAGGACTGTAACAGTGGAAACTGGAAACTGCAACTGGAACAGGGAGCTGCAATCTTCACCTTCACAGCCTGGTGGCCCCGCAAGGGGGCCTGCGGATTTTTTTTGTTATTCCGATCTGAGCCGATTTCCCGACTCGATGCTGT